AGTTATTTTTTTTTTTTTTTTTTTTTTTGCCCCGTTACGCTACGCATTTTTGAAAATTGCCACTTCTTACAGCTATTGTTATCATTTTGTCATAATGTCTATTATCAAAAAGCACATCAATTTCATTTTTAACATCAATGAGCTTTCAGTAAAGTATCATTTCTAATTGAACGTTTGTAAATAAAATCCAATTTATTGTTCCAATGAATAGAAAAGTCTTCAGTGCAAAATTTTGGATTATACTATTTTATTAGGTAAAATTGTCCATTGGTAAAAACTGGTTTTCCTAAATTTATGTGATTATAATCAAATGTTTGCTTCTTTATTTCTTTTATTAAAATGATACTTTACTAGGTAATTGAATAATACATAATTTAATCAGCTTTTATTAAACAAAATGGAGTGTTTATAATGTATTTAAAATAAATACTTTGAAATGAATACTATAATTTAATTGTTTATGTTATTTCTGCAATAGCAACAAATATAAATTCATAAATCTAAATTCATTTCGATAAGCACGTATATCTCCTGGATATTTAAGGTATCAGTAAAGAATACTCTTTCAACAGCAACAATTTTATGGTTTAAGTACGCAACAATATATAGGATTTTTAATGAAAGTTTCCCGCCACCGCAAATATCGTCTGCGCAAACCGTTCGCTTTGGCGTGTTTAATCATATTTTGGCAAACGATTTTTGGCATTTGAAAGAAAGAGATTTGTTTTAGAACACTGTGTTGTGAAATTTGAAAAAAAAGTATCGTTATCATTAAAGGAGCTGAAATGGAACTATCACGCTACAAAATTAGAACCATTATTTACTCCCAGTTTTGTTGCAAAACATCAGCTGCAGAAAGTCACCAGATCACGTAGATCTTTATTTACGAATGTTGTATCATATGACACTGTGAAGGTTTTGTACCGAAAGTTCAAAAACAAGGACTATGACAGTCAATCAGCAACATTTCGGAGCAGAACGCTCCGAAATGTTGATGGCGCACGTATGCGAGAAATTGTGGAAGAAGATCAGTATGCAACCACTCGAGAGCTTGCCAAGGAGATATACGTTACTGCCACGTTCTTTAGTTGCGCTATGCTTAGCTTTAAGTTGACGCACAAGTTCAATCGGTGGGTGCCGCATAAGCTGACTCAAGCAGATAAGGACAGACGTGCTCGAGCCTGCACTAATCTGCTTTGTATCTAGTGATTGCCGTGATATTATTCACAAAACGTACCTGAAAAAAGAGTAGAAACCTCTACAGTAAGGTGTACACTAGTCCATGTTGAAGCTGCTATCAATGAAATCATCAAAATCATCTATAGTATGGAAAACCGTTGAATTGAGTTCCGAGGCAAAAAGGTAATGTTCCTGCAAAACCGCATGTGTCTGCATTCACTGGCTAGACTCTGTACAGACTCGAATGAGATCTTTTGCCACACCCACCATATAGCCCCGAGATCGCTCCTTCGGACTTTTACATTTTTTAACACCTGCAGCTACATCTTGCTGGTGCTATCTTCCATTCTGCATAGGACGTCCAAAATGAGGTTGTTTTGTTTTTGGACTCGCGGCCAGCAAGTTTCTGGGCCGAAGGCTTTGAAAAATTACAAAAACGTTGGCAGAAAACCCTACGTTTGGTTGGTAATTATTATCCGCATTAAAGATACTGCTTTCATTTTTTTCTAACATTATTAAGAACGTTTGTTCGCGGAAAACTTTCGTTACAACCAGATATTATGTAGATTGCTGCAAAACTACTAAAGCATCGAAATAAAAGACCATTTTCGATTGTTCGTTAAAAGCTGATATGGGCTTCAAATACCTTATCTGTTTATCTAGTTTGCCTAAAATGTATTCAGTTTTATATATGAATCCAGAAAGCTTAAATACAGAAAATGAGAACATTTAGAAATTTGATATAGAGGTTATAGTGGGGAAAATAATCATCATATACGGATACACAGAGGCACAGACTTCATTCAAAAGTAATAAAAACGTGTAGCAAGGATCCTAATTCATGCTTATTTACTGAAATCTCAATGTTGAATGTTTGGACCGAAAACATTACCTTTCTTGCCTATATATACAGGTTGGGAGGAGGTAGAAAGGAAGCAATTTGATATTCCTATATAGTTTTTATCTCTTAATCTCAAATTTTAAATTTATATTTTAAATTATATCAAAATTTACAGTGCCTTATAAAAGATGATGTTTTCCTTCGTATAATAATACACTTCTTAATAACTTTCTTAACCCGGCGGAAGTCGCACCAAGAAAAGTTACTAGAGTGGGCGCGTGGGGTATCACATACCCCAATATTTAAAATACGATAAAAAATTTTTTTAAAATAGTTTTATTTAGTTTTTTAAAGCTGTTTTTCTTGTTCTCGTGTATTATAAATACGTGAATAATAATTGGGTTTCAAAAAAATTTTCCAAAAAATCTTAGAGTTAAAATTAAGATATAAATGAAAATAATTAAAAAAATAAACATCATTGCCTCTAAGTTTCATTGCATCTCTAATAATAAACAATGCTTATTTTATTTCTTCACACTTTGAACGAAATACATTCATGTTCTTGGCACAGAATGTTTTCACATTTTAAAACATTGCATTCACGTTCTTCTGTCCTTGGCGCGAGGGCAAAAATTTATCACATCTTTCATACTTAGTTGTTTCGAATTTCATGTATTCGTTTTAATTCTTCGTCGAAACTTCTGCTTTTGTTTTGTATGCAGTACGTCAGTTTCTTGGTAAAGTATAATCTCTGATCTTTGTCAATACTTGTTTTCATTCATTAATTGTAATGCTAAGTTCTTCAAAAACAGACTTTCTTTTCTGGTTGGTGAATTAGCAGTTGAATGTAATATAATTCAAGCATTTATTATAGCAACATTCAGTGCAGGAAAGAAAATTATCATTGGCCACCTCCTTGTTATTCTGCCAATTGAATAATTGGCTGACCCCATATCCACTGCTCCTTTAGTCATATTATAAAAACATATAATTCCTGACGTTTTATTTTCTCCAATAGTATCATCTATAGTATGGATCGTTACGTAATGTTGAAAGCATAAGAACAGTTTTCCTTTTTTAGGAACATTAGAAAATTAATGTTTTATCTTTTTCGAAACCAAAACAGTGTAGAAAATATTCCTAGTTTCATCTTCAGTTCCGAAATGAAAATCTTCATCGCTTTCAAATATTTCTAATAAATATCACATGCGTTGCATCTGCAATTCATAGGGAGTCATTCTTTTTACGATAATGTGGTTAGAAATTTTCAAGTTTAATGTCAAGTATTTTAAAATCACTTGCGAGTAAAAATATTTACTGTTACACTCCAGAAATAAATTTCTGAACTAAATATTCGGTCAGAAAAACACTTACGCGGACAGGCGCGTGGGGTGTGTCATACCCCAGTTCCAACAAATTACCGATAAATCTGTTTCTGAAACACACAGGCAAAGAAAAAGCTGTTCTGAAAGTCAACCACAACTAGAAACTCAGCTACTGAATGCAGCACAGAATTTCAGTTTTACAAGTTAGGAATATTCCACTTTTATATAGGGGTGGGGTATGACACACCCCACGCGCCTTCCCGCGGGTTAAATCTTAATAATATAAAATTTATACGTACCTTTTTTTGATATTTTACAAGTCTAGCACGTCTTATTTATGTAATTTAATTAACCTAAATCACCAGGCACTTTATGCAAAAGATTAATATAAACAGCTGTTATTTTGATACATATAATTAGCATAAATAACCATTATTTAGATAATTAGACATTATTATGCATATAATTAGCATAAATTATCACTATATAGTTTTCATTTCTATTGCAAAATGTTTCTGCTTTTTAATCCTTGCTCAAATTCATATCTTGATGGCGGATCAATTTCAGAATGTAGGTAAAGGTTGCGCATAAAGATTGATCAATTTATGATGATCCCAATTTGCCTGCCCGACGTTTCCTATAATAGCGTGGGTGTTACCCACCCTTGTCACCATGAACCTGTAGTTCCTGGAGAAATGCCCATAGCGTCTGGATGCCATTATTCTCCATATTTCGTTCGCAAAACTTTATCAAATTAAATAAATGAAGGATTTTGTAACATCATACCGATCATTTAAAAAGCACACCTGGAAGCCTTAACAATTTTATACCAGCGGATTCGTAGCCTAGTCTGCTAAAGATACAAAAAGACAATTTATGATTTATCTTTTAGTTTCCCGTTAGAAAAAAACATATTTATTTAATTATATATATAATTTTAAAAATCGTATTTTTCTCTTTGGAAATATTTTTATGCTTCACAATTCTTTGAAAATAAACTCATATGGTCGATTCCGTGGAAATTAAAATCAGAGCCTATTCAGAGAATCTGAGGTATTTATTTCATTACATTAATCATTCTCGAAATCTGTTCTCCTAATACACATTCGTAGCATCTCATTCTTTCGTGTACTGATTCTCGCAATTCATTTTAGAATTTAATGACAAATCTTGAAGCACATAAATATGAGAAGTGTCTTATATCTAATGATTCTGAATTTCTCTAAGTATTTGTTGTACAAGAGAAAAGTGAGTTCAGAAGCTATGAGAAATTTCAAACCAGAATAAAATTTATTTCCAATTCAGTTAAAATTTCAATTATTTCTCTGATTTGGGTTGAAATAAAGTTCTCTTTTTCTAGCTGATAAAACTCTAAAATCACTGACAAAATTTCGTACTAATCCTTCTATAATTTAGGTATTTGTGTTTGTTAAATTATGAGTAGTTTGTTAAATTATGAGTAGGATAGTATATTTATCGAAGAACAAAATTCTGGTAAATGCTTTGCGAATTTTAGAAGGTTATATCAGTTTTCACTAACATAAAAGAAATCGGCAAGTTAAAATTTCTTCTATTATTTTCAAAATTTTATTAGAATTGTTACAAATATTTTCTCATTTAAATAATCTTGCTTTAACCTTTATTTAAATTTGCAGGATGGAAAACCAACTATACAAATACTACTACTCTGAAAATCCGAACCAGAACTTTCAATTGCCTCTCAAGATTTCAAGTCTTTCAGAGATCCAGCAGTGCCCACTAACCGTTTGCAGTGCCCACTAACCGTTTTGCCGTTCGTGTGGTTAACACGAACGACAAAATAGTAGAATGCTGGAAATTTGACGGGGTTTTATATTTCAGAGGTTGGAGTTGTTTGCATGAAACATGTTATGGCTTTATCCACATGTGGCATGAAAATAAGTTTTCCTCAAAATTCTCCATGAAAGCATTCCTTCCATCAGATAAATGAAAAATATTCCTAAGCAACTAAAACATTGCATCTCTTATTACAATACCCATCAGTAGCGCCAGTTCTTGAGAGTTTTTTCAAATCTGAAACTTTCGACAAACCTGTGCAACTAAAATTTAAATCTATGCGAATTTGTGGAATTTTTGTGACTTCGTCATTTTCTTGTGCTACATTTTGTTACCTTAGAAGTTTTCAATGCATTATAAAATACTTATTTGTTAATATAATATATCTATTGAAATTACTTTATAATAAAAAATAGTGATTTATTTTTATTTGACTAAAAATTAGCCACTAGCAATCCTGCAACCGTAGTTCATGAAAACATGTATCCTCAGGTTTCAAAACAAGTCGTTGATATATTACCGTGTTTCATTGAATGTTATGTTTAATATTTTGGTGATCTGTGAGTGGGATTTCAAAATCGGGTTATAGCTACTGTATTAATTAAAGTATAAATTACGAGTAACGTGAAAAAATTCAACATTACCTTTCAAAATACTTTGCTTAAATTTCCCATGATTGGGAACTGGTTACAAGAATAAGGCTTATTCTTGTCCCTGCATATTATGTACCTTATGTCTTTCTATGCTAAACATTTTTCCATCTAGATTCCTGGAAGGAGATATGAGAAAAATTTGGCGATGCATCTGAAAAATATTAAATGAAATTTTGTATGAATTAATGACGCATTTAAATACGTTTTCGTAATGTCTGGCTCATGTTTTAGAATTTAAAATTTAAGATCTTTTCAAAGGGCGTTAAGAAATTCGTTTTTGAATTATTAAAATTCTGGTGAAGAAAGATGCAAGGTTTTATTTTAATTATCGAGTCATTATGATATGGCCTTTAAGTCGTATGCCGAGAAATATTAGCTACATATTCCAAATTTCCTCGCAGTCACTCCAAGCATTTTGCGTTATATTCCTGCAATTAAAATTACAGCCTTAATTAGAACGTATGATAGATTACCTAGTATTTTAAGTATCGTAAGCTTTCGCTGCATTAAATCTGCAGACTCAAAGCAAATTAAAAAATTTTGTACCTGCAGATTTCGGAAATTCCTATTCGATATGCTACCTTTTGTTAGTGTTATGATAACAGACTAACGTGGTATTAATACCGGAGAGATCGATACTTTTATAATAACCTTCCGAAATTAGATTACATTTCAGAATTATATATTGGTCATTCATTTGTGATGAAAAGGTAGGATTTTGTTTCCCTGGAAATGAAAATCCAAGCTGTCGTTTATCATTTTCATTAATAATTCACCTGTCAAATGCTTTAAGGAGTAAGGACGTTTTAGCCGCTCTGTTCTGTCATTTTTATTTGTCATACATTCTTCAACTTCCGCTTAATGATTTGAGATTCATAACTCTGTATTTCTCTTAACTGTAAAGCTATGGTATTTTAATATCCTCCAAAAATTATTCCTAAATTTTTAGCATATTCATGAAACATTCAGGCAATTCTTTTACTTCGTTTATTCTCTCATAGGTCTGATTTCATAATTTTGTTTTAAAATTAAGTTTCTAATTTTAAAAGCATTTATCTTCATTATAATAAAAGTTTAAAAAGTTGACAACATATCTAAACGAAAATTAATTATTGTACTGTTTATATGGTCTATAAAAATGTCTCTAATGCGATATATTTATACTTAGTCACTTAATAATCGCTTTTGTGTTGCCTTGTAAAGAATTTGTAAATTTTTTTAAAGTATTTTACAGTGGCAACAAGTATTATTAACAGCTACTATAAGCCAAAGTTTCAGATAACATAAGTAAAACAAACTGAAGCCAGAAATCTGTACAATGAAGCATTTCGGAATTAAATTGCATTCGTAATTATTTATAGTAAACTGACCGAAAAAAGAGAAGGCATTGATGCACTATGTAAATAACCATATATTTACGACTTGACTATTCAAACACAAAACCAAATTTTGATGAGAAACTCTCATGACATTTTTTAAAAACGTGTCTCTGAGATCAACTGAATAATCTCCCAATGAATCGAAAAGAATCTTCGAAGCAACTTGCTCTACATTGCATTTAAAGGCGGCTCAGTTCACTGGCTAATTAATAATTCACCATAATTTTCAGTAAAAATGCGGCGCAAATTCTGAGAATTTTATCATCAAAGAAATATAATCAAGTAAAAGAAATATGATAATTTTTTTTTCTTAGGATACGTATCCTAAAATTCAAAATCGGAAGCAGAAGAAGGTGATACAATAAGAACAGAAGATGATTAAATGAATCTGATCAGATTTGGAAATATATGAATGAAGATATTTAAGGCTCACTAAAAAATTCCGGTATGTGTAAAGAATATTGATAATTTAACTCTTTTTCAATTACCGATTATTTTCTCTATTCCGGTTTTACTCTTCTCCTGTTATATTTTCTGTTATTATGCTCTCTGCTTCTGCTGAAAATCCTGCAGATTTTGATTTTCTTGTGAACGATATTGTCAAATGTTGATAAAAGTTAGCCGTGGTTACGTAACATATTTCTGAGTTCCTTTTAATTTTAGATACTTTGCAGCTAGACTATCAAAGAGAGTTAATTTTAATAACTTGGTTAATTAGTCAAAGCAGCACATTGCAGAAGTACTAAAATTTATGAATGGCGTGCTAAGACATTTGGTTGGTATTTACGTCCGGTAATCTCCTAACTGGAAAAATATCCCTTTGCGAAAATTATGCAGTCTGTTGGAGTTATCATAAAAACTCATGGATCAAATTTAACTCTTTAATTGACCTGTCACCAATTAATTACCCGTTAATTAGGAAACAATGAAAAGTAGTTATTCAGCAAATTCAATCATTCTCCGAAAATTGAAACCGGGATGAAATTCAATTAGCACCTTCTGAAGCTTATCGCGGATGCAACAAATTACTATAACTTTCTTAATAATACTCTCGAATTAAAATTAGTATCATTCTAAAATATAAAGAATTAGGGAATTTTATTGCGGAAAAGGAGAGAAATTTAGAGTGAGGTATCGTATAAAAATAGACAGTATTTTTGTCGATTTAACATGACTTTCAGAAATCCAAACCAGTATATTTTTGTTATATCATAATAGTACTTAGGAACACATCTTTAATTCCTTGTGCATCTCCCATAGAAGAAGACTGGAGAATCCTGAGATGACAATCTCAAATTGGGCATAATTTGTCGCCTACTATTTTTAGTTGTCAGAAAGAAGATGGGTTTTGGACCTATATATAAGTTGATGGCAAAATAAAACGGCATTGGAGATTTACGTTCCCACATTCGAACATCGAATCTTCAAGATCATCGAGTCGAATTATGTTGCTGATGTACAGTTACTAAACTTCTTGTAATTCATAACCCAAATAATGTCCATGAATTAATCGTGGTTAAAAATAGTTTTATCGGGTAAGACTTTCTGCATCTTAGCAGATGTTATTATAATTTTGCCTAGTTCCATCTGTCAGTTTTGATGCAAAACTTTCCGAAAAGAGATCCAGGTGTCTCTAGCATCAACATTTCGGCTTAAAGATATTTTAAAAGTCCTCATGTTATACCAGCACTGTACATTTACAATCACCCATTTCTTTTACGTGATTCGAACCCAACGGCAAAGCACACGACACCGCTAACAGCTATATCGATCCTGGTGATTCCCTATTGCTTAATATGCTGCAGGAGACATTGGGACGAATGCATTCACGTTTTAGAAAGTTAAAATGTTTTTAGTATTAATTAAACTATGTCATCTAGCTTATACTGTCAGGAAATATTATAACTATATATTTCATATTTTAATGTTTACCTTAATTTATAAATTATAACTTTTTTAATCAACTCAGAATTTGTATTCTCGAAAAGGAAAGATTTTAGAAATTAGCGTACAAGTGAAAAATTAACTTTTACATAAGTACGAACCTTTTTAACCAATCGAAAATCTTTTAGCCTATTTGTTATACAGTTAGCGTTCACTGTGTCATTTAAATTTAAGATAATTTTGCAAAGGCAAACATGATTGTTATCGAATGCAGAAACGGTTCCTTTTGTGTCCTTGACCCACATATTACATGTCAAAGCTGTCGAAGCTGCCAAGTTATAAATACGTGTCTATGGAAACGCAGTGTATATACACCTGATTAGTCACATATTTTTATTCTTCATATACATACTTCGAAATGGAATAATTCTTCATTTTCATTTTGTATAATATCATGACATTTATAGTGAATCATATAGCATAAGGCTGAATTTATTACATTAATTCATGACAGCAAGTTCGTGACCTAGATATACATTAATGGATGAATATCTAAATGTCTAAAATTAAATATTCCAATGTAAAGAATTAAAGTCCAGAAACTGGCTAAGCAAAATTAATTTTCGAATTAAATCACTAAGAAATAATTATTAACAGTGACATAAAACTGCCTCCATATAACAGCATATTCTAAGAAGTCAGAAATATTTATTTTATATCAGTACGAAATTTATCAACGGAATTAAATACTGAAATGTTTTATTTCAGTAAATAAATTTATTTTCAGTCACGTTACACAAATTTGAAATACATTTGGGCATTTTAACATCAGTTCCTTAACATAATCTATATTTGAAGCCTGCAAGAGCCAGCAGCGTTTATCAGTAATAAAATTCTTGTAAAAATTTACATCACACTTTTTAAATTTCTTAAACCGTTGCCTAGTTATCCAGCTGAACATTGATAAAACCTTTTCAGTAGAAAATACATAGAACATCTTTTCTCTCTATGATCCATAGACCACAAGGGGTCCTCGAAGATCCCCTTGTACCCCTCCTAAATTTCCAAAAAATAATATGATAAAAAAATAAAACTCAGATTAACTTCTCCCACCATACTATAGCTAAAATAACAAGAATTTGGAAATCGCACTTGGTAATCGCCTTATCACTTTTCCTCCCTAGACTAGCATTTTGTGAAATTTATAACCAATTACTTTATCTACGAAATTTCTCCTCTAGTCTTAGCAACAAAAGAGGGACTTGAAGCGTTATGACTGTGTTGCTTCTTACCGGCACATATCCAAACATATAACAGCTATACAACAATCGGCAATCTCATCCGTCTCATTAATGCGAGTACCATTTATTTAAGATAAAGATTATTCAAACTCTAATATCCTTGAGTTATTAAAAAAGAACATACATTTTCTTCTATTCACTTAATTATTTAAAACATACATAATATTAAATCAATTTGAATTAACCGTATACACTCGTGTAATATCCACG